AATCTAGGTTGGTTAGCATTGCAATGTCTCCGTTAGTTGCTGTGACGATGACGGAGATGCCACTTTCGGTGAAGGTTTGTAGGATTTGAGGACTTACATCAAAGATCTTAAGACTATGGATGGTTGTCTTGGTCTTAAGGAAATTTGCTACCACTCGCGGTCAAGGAAGGTTGTCTCTGATAGTGGCATAGTTAACACCGATGGAGAGGACGGTTGTAGCAAGGTGGAGCAGAAAGATAAATAAGACAGCTGGGATTGGAGATGATGTAGCCATGGTTTCTGGTTTGTTCTTGATTACCTCTCTTTGCTCGCATGTGATCTTTTTTCCCCTAATTTTCTGCCACGAATGTTCTTCTCCTAGTCAAAATACACAGCCACGTTGTATATATCACCCTCCAAGCCATCTCTGGTCAACATTTTTAAACTAACGTTAGCATTGGTCAATTTAAAAGAAGTAGCATCCTTGGGCTCTTTTTGAATCAACATAATAATCTTGGGCCTAACATTTTATTATGGTGCCTGACGCTCTCTTAAATATTCCAATGAGTAAATTTACCTATCAATCTTTTAAATAAACATGTCTATTTAGAGGGTTTTATTATGAAAAACATTTACCTAAAATACTCAAGTAAATGCAACTTTTACAGACAGTCTTCACCTAGAAGTTATTTAGGGGAAATTGGTCTCCAACTTCCCAAAAATTTTATCTCAACTTTGTTTTTAAAAAAAAACACTTAATAGTTTTTTGGGGAAAAAAACAATAAAAGAAAATAAGCAATTGTCTAACTTTTTGTAAATATTTATGTCTTTTCTAACTTCTTCATACCAAGCGCGACACATAATTTTTTATCATGACTATCCAATACGGTTCAAATTATGTTGCTTTATTATTTGTTTATTTTTAAAAATAAACAATATCTTGATAGACTAAGTTAGATTTAAACAGTCCCCAAAAACATAATAAAAATATATTATTATTGATCCGTTAATCTTATTACATAACTCATTCTCATATTTTAACTTTATATACCCCCAATTTAATTGATTAATTTAATTTTAGTTATTTTCATTTTTATCTCTTAATTTGATTTTAATTTAATATCTTTCGTTCACTTTAACAATGAATCTAAAATTCTCTCGGATGATTATTGATAATATGAAATGACATCAATCCCCAATTAGATTGAAGAAAGTTAAGCAAGAATGAAAGTAAAGGCCATGCGTAAAATTTGGGAGACCATGAAAACGTACATTGCAAGCAAATATAGTAAAATCAATAAATCAATAAATGTAAAATATAAAAAGTTTAGAGAACGATGTGACTGATTTTGAGCAACGTTAAGGGGCAACTCATATTAAAGGATGAAAGGAAAATTTAAGGTAAGGTTAAGGGATAAAGTTAAAGTTCAATGAATTAAAAAAAAAAAATCCAAATTTATAAAATTTAATTTATAGAAACAAAATTGAGATGAAAAAGTTAAAGAACAAGAAGTTATTGATCAACAGCTAGTGTATACTTCATCAACCACAGAACCTACTAAGTCAAAATCGAGTTTCAAAGAGGTGAAGATTGATGAAAAAAAGTAGGTTGTTTTATGCTATTTTAACTTTTTGCTTTATAATGACATTTAGGTTTTATTAAAAAGATAAAAGAATCAAAGGTCCATAGATTTATTTTTAATTAGTTACATGCAAGCATCCATACGGTAAACTCTATGTTGTAAATTAACAATCTATGTACGAAAGTGTTTTAAAAGTCAACATCGGATCAAAATGTTCGAGATTCACAATTCTCATGATCTAATTGGTTAGGTTGGTGGTTGAATAATAACATAACAATTAAATAAAAAATTATGTGTATCTATAATAATATATGAAGGAAACAAATTCATAATAAATCAAGCAAATTTTTTAAAAACAGTTATAGTTCATTTCATGACCTAATTTTGAGTTCTGACTCTGTATATAACTACTCAATTCTAGTTCAACTCAACTCAATCATGACACAAATTTTCTAATTAAACTGGTCCGCTAGCAAATCCGGTTAACAGTTCAACCAGTTAGACCATCTAATTTGATTTGGTTCTTTAATCATAAATATGAAGTGAATTTTAGAAAGTGCATTTTTCCATTTTAACTCTTTCAAAATATTTAAGTTAATCATATTAATGATGAGTTCCTTACACGGCATGCCTAAGAACTAAGAAGATTATTGGTAATTGGTTTATGCTTAGCATACTAGAAGCACATGTTTAAAATTCATAGATCTATAGATAAATATATAGCTATGGATATGTATATGTAAAAGAATCAAATTTAATTCAAGTATAATATTCATGTTTCGACAAGACAGAACTTAAATCTAGTTCAATTTAGCTGTCAAGTCTGAAACAAAAAAAAAAAAAAAAAGGAAAAAAGTAGACGTTGAAAATAAGGTCTTTTAAATAATAAGCCAAAGCCTTCCCAAGAACGTGGACCAACTAGAGATCCACGACTTTTCTCTCAGTCCAATTCTCAATTATTAGAGACAAGCATGTTTTAATGCTACTGGAACGTGAAGTGCACGCGCTACATGGGATTAGCACGTAAACGTTCGGCTAAACTAATTTAAAAGTTTAATTTCTTAATTTAAAAAATCAATCCATGGTAGTTAGAAGCTAATAAGGAGAAGAGAAGGAAAAAAATTTTTTTTTTTTTTGCCAAGGGAAAAAAATCATATCTAAGTGTTCTTTAAGATGTTGAGAAAAACTTATTTTGCAGATACTTATTTTTTTAATTTTTAATTTGGTATTCATATCTTTTTTTCTTGATTAAATTTTTTAAATTTACTTTATTGGCACAGTTAATTCTTACCACCTCTAGTGCTTAATAAGGGTTAGTTTGGCATCTAATCTTATTCTAAATATAAGACTCTGATTCACTTTGTCTCTCAAATTTATTCACTTTTTTCAAATTAGTCTTTGTAGTAATTATATATGTTAAAAATTTTATCAAATAGTAATCATAACTAATACAAATGATTAACAAGAGTATTTTAAAGAAATTAACATCTATTTATCACAAATAATTAACTTAACAAATTTTTTTAATTTACTTAAATTAGTCAACTAATTTTTATGCTAAGTACATAGGTATTATAATTTTATAGGGATTAATAGTATTACCAGAACAAAATTAAAAAAATTATTTAAAAAATATATAAGTATCAAATTAAAAATTTTAAAAAATACATATAAGTATGTGTAAAATAATTTTCCCTATTATATATCGCTAACTTCAGAAAAGTAATTCTCTCAAAAGATAGGCAAACCGAAAGTATTCATCTCCTCTAAACATATCTAATTCATGAAATTGTTCTTCATAATGATAAACTTAATTCACACACTGTACTCTTATTTTATGTTTGATGTTACTTTTGATACCACTTTCAGCCCATTCGGTTATTAAAAATATTGAAAATTTAACACCTTGATCGTGATTTGTGGATTGGGTGAGCAATTATAAAATATTAGAAGCCACGGGGACACATAAATACACACACACATATTTATAGAATATAAAATAATCCCATCTCAGGTTTCAACTTTACGATTCTAGAAACAATTTTTTATTATATTGCGCCGCGTCCCATAAACTTTTTTGTTTTTTTTTTGCCGATACAATTCTACAAACAATTTTACACTTTAATAATAGATAAGGGAAATGCAATACTATTTAAGAATTTAGAATTTTTATATTCTTTATTTTAGGCTGCATAAACTTTCATTCTTGACACTTTTCAATGAAAACGAGCCGGGGACCTCATTTATTTTATGCTTCACTTACGGCAATTACATTAAAACTAAATTATTTATCATATAGCTAACTAACTTGCGAACAAATTACGTACTATCTGCGGTAGTTAATATAAAAAGTTAGTTTACTAATTTAAATAAATTAAAAAAATAAATTAAGTTAGATATTTATAATAAATTTGTATTGTCTTCTATAAAATACATTATAAATCATGTATATTAATTAAAATTACTATTTGATAAAACTTTTAACAGTATAACAGATAATGTGAATTAAATATCAAATTAAATATCAAATCTAGTCTTATACTTTTGATCAAATTAAATATCAATCAAACTCTTATATTAAAGATTGGAAGTAATATATAAGTTTAAGTGATTAAGTTTTCATTTATACTCAAAGAAATAATTAAGAAAATCTTACAAAGAAATAATTAAAAAAAAAAACAAGAAGAAGAAGAGATGAAGAAATATAGGATTCAACACGGGCATATCACATCCCATTATCTTTTTTATCCCCTAACGAGAACATCCCATTATCAGAATACTAATGTTATATTCATCTCCAGAGATTTACATAAACTATACGAACTTTTTACTGAAATCATCTCTATTTAATTTCCATAGTTAATACTACCTTCTGTTCCTTAATATAAAATCTTGTTTGACTTTTATTTTGGTCCTAAATATAAGACCCCAATCTATTTTATCTCTCATATTTATACAATTTTTTTCAAGATAGTTTTTCTAATAATTATAGTTTTAGCCAACACACTTAATTACTAAGGATATTTTAAGAAAGACACATCTGTTTATTACAAATAACTAATTTCACTTATTTTTTTAATCTTCTTAAATTAGTTAACAAGCTCTTATAATTAAAACCAGAGGTAATATTGTCAAATTTTGATTTGATATTTTTTTATTATCAAATAAAATTTTTTTAACTCTGAACAATTCATAATATATATATCTAAGTTTTGGTTCTTTCTGTAATTTTATCTGGATATAAGATAAAATAGGTTTGATAATTAATACCGCTAATTAGTTTATAAATATTCCAACGTGGTTCAGATATAAATATAATATTCATGTATCGTTCTCATTCATACTTCACCACTACGATAATATAATTCCTAAGCCATCGCCACACTCATTCGCTTTTCTTCTTCCTCTCTTCCTTTTCTTCGTCTTCCTCCTGTATCTGACCTGAACAAGTCTTCAAATGATGAGCTCACAAGCAGTAGTCTTCGCTGCCGCCGCTGCAGCCGCCGCCGTCTCCGGCACCGTCCTCCTCCTCACTTTGCGTCTCCAGAAATCTCTCCAATTCCCCCTCCACCAACACCACTCTTCGCCTCCAATTCTTCGATCTTGCATATCATCCACCTCAGGTACCGTCATCCTCCCCTGTTTTTTGATTCAAAACGCATTGATTCGCTATTCTTAAAGCTTCGATCTCTATGCTGTTTCTTTGACTTGTGGGTTGGTTTCTTGCGCAGATGAGAAGAAGAAGAAGAAAAAGAAGAAGAAGAGGGTTCACTTCGCCGAGGACGTGGCGGTGTCAAGAACAAGAAGAGATGAAGAAGGAGGAGTGAGAAGAAATTACAGAGAGTCATCAGAAACAAAGAAGGTTCGAAGGAGTTGCAGCAATGGCGGAATTGAAGAGAACAGAGGAATGCCTGCGAACAGAGTGGCTCTCTATAATGGGATATTGAGGGATCGTGTGGCTCAACGATTGGCCTACTCTTACTGATTTGGGGTTTTTCTGTGAATATTCTGTGATTATACCTCTCGTCTTCTTTCGTTTGCCTTTATTTTCTTTTTCTCTTTTGTCCTGTGTTGCTGTAGACGGAGAAGTGGGGAAGTTTCCAGTCATAGGCTTTTTTTTCTTGTTGAGACGACTCGATTTACTGGGTCGATCCTCCTGTTGTTGTAGAATTTTGTCGATATTTTATATCATAGATTTAGTGATTCTGTTTCAAATTAGCCTGACTTTTTCCCTTTTTTTTTTTTTTCTTTTTGATCTTCTTCTGTTATTGAGTTATTTGCACTCCAAGATGTTACATGCAGATCTTCATGTTGTAATTGTGTTCTGACTTGTAAATTCAATGAATCAATTATTGGATTAAAATAATGGAATAACTTTTTCAATTCTAAATCTCTAAATAAAATTTGTTAAATACTGTTAGAATTAGCAACACAACGATGACGGGGTAAATTGGGTATTTACAAAAAAAAAATTCCTAAGATCTTTAAAGACTTTTTATCGTACACAGAATGTAAGTGTGTGCATGAGTAAATACAAAAACAAAGCCATGTTGTTAGCTTGCTCAACCAATTTTCGGAAGCACAATATGAACATTGAAGCTTAAACTTGATTCACCAAAACAAGTTTTACTATAAAATTATAAAGAAAAAATCACAAATAAAAACCCTTGAAGGTATGAAATTGCAAAATGAGTTCTTAAATTAACATAATTGTTTGAAGAGATTAGATCTTAAATTGCAATTATGAGATGACAGAGAAAATAGCAAAATGCCATTCCCTTCTTTTTCTCTTCCTCCTCCTCTTTCCTCCTTCTCTTCATCTCCCTCTATTCATCCTTCCCTTTCCTCTTCCTTCTCCTTTCTCCCCCAACCCCACTTCCTCATCCCCACCCTCATCTCCCCCCACCCTACTTCCTAATTTCGACCCCCACCCTACTTCACTTCTTCATTCCTGTCAAACCCCTAGCAATCTGAGAACACTCTATGACGGGAAATACAAAGCACTCATCGCCATTCACCATCAGTTACCATTGTAAAGGGAGAGAATTACCATGGCAGTCTCTCTTGTATCTTCTCTTGAATTGACCTCCTTCATTTCTCTCACCTACTTGTGGCATTGAGAAAATTGAGTAGGCGTCTATGGAGTTGCCACAGTACCCCCATGGACTAGTAAGTGACGGTCAAGAGCATACCATCTTTTGCAGGTAGCTTCACAGCATTTTCAAACCTAATTTTCTACCAATCCTTTGAATTCAAATGGCGAAATGCAAAAACTGATTGCTATCAAATCACCTCTAATCTTTTGTTATTTGGCTTACCATTGTTGTAATTTTGATTGGTAGTGTTTTAAATTCATACTTGTTATTATGATGGCAGCAACATGACATGATGATCTGAAAATGTTGGTCTTTCGTTTATGGGCAAAACAATATTAACATTTTGTATTTATTAGTTCTAAATGGTAACAATATGGATCTATTTAATGTTCTAAAGTTAATAAAAAAAACCTAGTCGTAGACTTGTAATTTTGCTTGCTAAACTTGTTATTTGGCCTATTACTCTTGTCATTTGGTAGTAAAATATGAAAATAATATCAGCTTTTCATGAAACTTAATTTCATAAGAAACCCAATCATAGAATTGTTATTTCGGTTATCACTCTTGTCATTTAGTTTACTGCCAGTGAAACGTGAAAATAATAGTAACTTTTTATTAAACTTAATTTGATTAGAAACCCAATCACCCGCTTGTAATTTTGCTTACCAAACTTATTATTTTGCTTACCACTCTTATTATTTGGTTTACTGCTCTTGTTATGTAGCAGTGAAATGTGAAAATAATGGCAACTTTGCATGAAACATAATTTAATGAGAAACCATATAACTGAATTGTTGTTTGGGAGAATTGCAATTAGGTCCCACTCAAGGGAATTAAATACAAAAAGGTCTCTTGAAATCATGAAATTATTTTGAAGTCCTAGGGAACCTTTTTGCAATAAATTTTATTTGTTTAATTACCAAATTACCCTTCTTCTTTTTTTAACTTTGTATTGACAACTGAAAAAGTAGTAGTTGACAACTCAGGGTGCAAGGATTGACAACTATCGCGGCTGGTTTGACAACACATTTTCTCGACATATCACACCATAAGTTGTCAAACCAGCCGCGATAGTTGTCAATCCTTGCACCCTGAGTTGTCAACTACTGCTCTTTCAGTTGTCAATGCAAATCTAAAAAAAAAAAAGAAGAAGGATAATTTGGTAAGTAAATAAATAAAATTTAATGCAAAAATTTTTTTGGGATTTTAAAATAATTTCATGATTTCAAGGGACCTTTTTGTATTTAATTCCCTTGAGTGGGACCTAATTGCCATTTTCCCTTGTTGTTTTGCTTACTACTCTTGTCATTTGGCTTACTAGTCTTGTCATTTGACAGTAAAATGTGAAAATAATAGCAACTTTTCATGAAATTTAATTTCATTAGAAACCCAGTCACATGCTCGAATTTTGCTCACCGAACTCGTTATTTTGGCTTATGACTCTTGTCATTTGGCAGTATAATGCGAAAATAATGACAATTCGAATTGAAACATTTAATAATATCAAATTCAAATGTCATTTTAGCAATACATAACTGCCATTAATAATTTATAACAATGGCCACTCATCAACAAAGAAAAAAATATTATACATATGTTAAATGCAATAACAGTATGTATAATTTATCCTTATTTTCCTATTAAAACTATGTATAAAAACTTTCTCATTCTTTTGGTTTTCTGTCCCTTGTCAGCTCTTGCAAGTTAAGTATAACAAATAACAACTTAACTATTCCATATAACAAATTGAGTTTAGCAAATGACAAATATTATATATAACAAGTATATCAAATAACAACTTAACTATTATAAATAATAAGTTGAGAATCACAACTTAAGTATATCAAATTACAATTTCACTATTCCAAATAACAAGTTCAATTTAGCAAATCGCAACTTGAATATTATATATGACAAGTTAAGTATATCAAATAACAACTTCACCATTTTGTTCAGTTAAGCAAATCACATATCGGGTCCAACAAAACATGTAACATACAATCATTGACAACAACATATAGCAAATAGTATGAACTCAAGCACCAAATCTAGCTATCAGAAATTACAGCTAAGCAGCTCATGAATCTTCTAGCTAGGACAAACAATTTAGCCACAGGTTTTCAAGAAGTCTTAAATTCAAATCATCTTGCAATATTTATCTCCCTCCTAAAACAAATAGAGCAAATTAAAGACTAATTCAAATTTTCTTTATGTCCACATAGTATACAAGAATCAATTGAGAATCAGAGTTCTTGATGCTTGATACACACATAGCATATAAGAAGTATATGACACTTAAAAACCATTGTAGCCAAGCTAATTATATTTCATTATTTCTTAGAAATTCCCAATTACTAATTTATGTGAGATAATATGTCACTTATTGTTCCTCAGGCATTTCCAAAGCAAAAGTAAAACCAATAATAGTGATAATATGTAAACAAGATAAAAAGAAGAGTAAAATGTACTGACTACCTTCTATTTTACCTCAATTACAAAAACCTCCCATTTATTTTGAAAATATATATATAAACCTTCCTTAAAATTAAAATGTATATTACACAAACCTCTCTCCTATATTTAAGATTTCATTTTCATCCACCTAAACCGTAAGTTGATCGTTAAATTTTGACTTTAAAAATTATTTTTTTGACCAAAATGCCTTTTTTAACTTAATAATAATTATTTAGAAATTTACATTTTATAAAATATATTTTATAAATCAAAAATAATAATTCTGATACATATATTTTCAAAATTTCTAATATATTATAAAATTTATCAATTTTGATTTAAATCATAAAATTTTATAATTTAAATTTTTCATCATATTCGTTAGAAATTATTTACTTTGATTTTTTTTAAATTGTAAAAAAATATTTCAAATACATAGTTTTTATCTATAATAAATTTTAAATGATATAAGTTTGAAAGATTTTATAAATTATTTAAATTTATAATTCAAAAATTTTAAACAAAGCTTTGTTACAAAAATTTATAAACATATTTTTGTCCAATATATATTTATTTAAAAATTAGTTAAATTTTAACCAAATCTTCTATATTTGTCTTAATTGAATGAAATATAAATTTTAATTAAAAATAATATTTTTAGAATCTTTTTAAAATATTCCTGATGGTATAAACTGATTAAACGAAACTGTATGTTTTTAAAATAGATAGGAGGTCTGTGTAATTGATGCCACAACAACAACAAAAACTAAAAATTGCAGCTGTTTATTTGTAGCGGTTAAAAAAAACTACTATAAAACATGTAAATTGTAGCGGTTTCAAACAAAACTGCTACAAATCTGCATCAGTTTGCTGAGGTAACATTTTGTGTCACACAATGTAGCGGTTTCTCCTTTAAATAACTGCTACAAATTTGGCATCAAGGTAGCACCGGATGGCGTGAGCTTGGCACCAAATTTGCAGCGATTATATAGTTACGATTAGGTTATAATAACCGCTACAAATGATACCATCAGTTTGTAGTGGTTTCCTTTGTAGCGGTTCGTTGAAAAGCAAAAGCTATTTGTAATATTTGTAGTGGTTGATATTAAATCACAACAAAGGTGCAAAAATTTGTCATGGTTATCAATAAACCACTACAAAGTTTAGAAAATTGTAGCGGTTTCTCAAACAATCGTGAGAAACTATTGTGTTATTCAATGCGGATAAGACACATGTCATCATTTTGTAGTAGTTTGTTAGAAACCGCTACAAATTTTGAAAATTTTGTAGCGGTTTTAGGGAAACCGCTACAAAACGGTGATGTCTATATAAGCGCCACCCCCCTTATTTTTTCACTTTTCGCCCATGTATGTAGGGAGGTTCCTTTTGGCACTCAAGTTGAACCTTTTCTCCAGTAAGTTGTACATTGATTTTCTTTTTTATATTTAAAATTTCTTTATTATTGCCTTCTCTGACAAATAACACCATAGGGGATTTAGAAGATATGTCAGGAGGCAGCTATGGGTTCGTTGACAAATATCTGTTGAGGTTGACAAGAGAGTCCACGGAGAATTTCTAAGTTGATTTACACATCAAATATGTAATGA